ATACTCATATAGACAAAGAATGACCTTAGGTAAAGTTATTCTTTATCTGTCTCTGTTCATAAGTTACTTCTACAAGAACCTGGTTTTAATTGCTAATTATAAAACATTGTTTTCTAAAGTATATTTGAATTATAGCTCCCATGTAATAAAATTCTAATGCAGTTTTTCTTTCCAATAGATAAACCCCTAAAATATATTTAATACTAATAAATGAATGGAAGTGGATTTTATCTTATTCTTAAGTTGACAGTCCTCAAATTTACCTTAAAAGTTATTATTGGTCAATCAAGCCCAATAAAGTGTGATTTTTCAAATGACAATAAGTTAATTCCAGTTTAAATTTAATATTATGTATTTTGACATTACATTAATTCAAATACTGTTGCACTAACTTTTCTACACCATGTACTTCTGATTACTGGTATTGTTAAAATAATTATGCCTCAAATAATACCATGTCATGAATGTGACATAGCATAAGGCTGACAGTCAAATAAGGCCTCTGTTCCATTATATGTTTGACTCATGCTCTGTTATATAACTTAAAACTAATAAAAGAATTACAAAAACTATTGAAAATGAGTTGCTGGTGGCTGATCAAATTGAGAGAAGCTAAAGAAACAATACTCGTATATTTTCAAAGCGACTTCACACTAAGTATATAATCACTACATATATCATATTTATCACATTTATAAATTTTCTGATTGCCAAAACCACACACTTATCACAAAGACTGAGTATTATGCACAAAAGCTCACATTTGCCTCTTTCCTTTTGCTCCCTGACTGGTCTTCTGTTACCCTCTTTACCAGTTGTCTGGTTTCTTTTATATATTTGCAGGAGTCAGTATTTCTCTTATCCTGAAACATTCAAATTTAGGGCCTTGCATGCTTCCCCTTTCATCTTTCTCTGGAACAAAAATCACACAAACTCTTTTTTTAGGGGGAAAAACAGAGCTTACCATCACTCTTCCCCCCACCCCACAGCCCATTCTCAGAACAGAAAACTCGCTCTACCCCAACCCAGAAAATGCCTTCCAGAATTATATTCCCTTCCTCCATAGATTGGTTTGACTCAGACCTGCCTAACAAGCTCTGTATAGCCAAAGCCACCGGGGCTAAATCACTGGGGAGTGCTAAGTAAAAATCCTAGCAGTGGGACGCCTGGATGGCTCAGCGGTTGAGCATCTGCCTTCAGGCCCAGGGCATGATCCTGGAGTCTGGGATCGGGTCCCACATTGGGCTCCCTGCATGGAGCCTGCTTCTCTCTCTGCCTATGTCTCTGCCTCTCTCTGTCTTTCATGAATAAATAAATAAAATCTTAAAAAAAGAAAAAAGAAAGAAATCCTAGCAGTTATTGGCTGGGTTAGCTCTCCCTCCCTCTCACTTTCAATGATTATAAGATTGGGCTAATGGTGCTTACTTAGTTCACAAGGTTCCTTATAGGATTTACCTAAAACAGGTGTAACATAGCAATGAGTGCTCCATATTGTGATAGTTATTATTTTGTCAAGATTTTAAGTCAAATGAGTGTTATGAAACTTTCTTTGCAATTTAACGAAGTCATTCTTAAGTACATTTCAAGTAATAAGCAAGTGAGAGGAGCATTGTATAAGAAGGAAAATCAATAGAAACTTGTGCTCCCCAATGTTAAAATGGCTTTGCGGCTGGCCAGGCTTAAGCCCACCTTTCCACTTTGCTAGAGACCCTATTTCACTGAATGCAACTGGACACACAGGGTTTGGAACTTGATGTAAAATTCCACTTACAGGAATATCTTCCAATAGAAATGACCTCAAATACTTAAAAACAGTTTTAAGCCAAATATGTTCACATAGGAAAATTTATAACAGTATAATCACAAAGGATGTAAATATCCCAAATTAGAGAGGTAGCAGATGATGAAGCAAGCATTCATGCACTGTAATAGTATGCATCCATTTTAAAATTATATATTCTAAAGAGCCTGTAATAACAAAAAGGCATGAAAAAAAGCACAGTACAAAACTGAAGGTGCAATATGATCCCAACTGTATAAAAATATACATAGAGGTAAGTGGAAGAAGACACCAGAATATAAAAGACGATTGTTTCTGTGTGGTGAAATTAAGGACATTTCCTTTTTTTTTTATGTGATATTCTGTGTTTCACATATTTTTTGGAGTTAGTAGGCATTGTTTTAGGATGGACTATTGAGCATATATCTAAAATTCAAAACTTCTCCAATGGCTAATTCTCTAGGGAGGTTGAAGGGTATTATACCATTTGCTCTGTGTAGCTTCTAGAAACTAACAATGATCTTTTTTGAAGTTGACCTCAGAAAGCCACCAAATTAAATAAGATATAAATACAGCTGCACCTAATGGCTAACCTCCACATGCACATTACTTCGTATTTCAGACTTGCAGCCACCAGAGAGTTTGCAGAAACTTCATGCCTACGGAATGTAAATTCACGATAATATATATGACCAAAATCTTAAAAAGAAAATATTTCCAATCCTCTGAACTATTGCTAAATATATGAAGTATGTCAGTAAACATACTAACTATCTAATGCATTAACTTGGAAATGTGAATACTGGGTATGACTTCAATGTTTCCAGTCAGGGGAACATCAGGACCATCATTGTTTATAGGATTTAACAGCTATGAGAGACTTTGGAAAGGAAAAATTTTCATTGAACAGATAAGGAAACTGAAGGCAGGATATGGGAGGTATCAACTCAAGATGAGCAGCAAGGCAAGAATAACGATAAATGCTCTGTTCCCAAGGGAATACTATGGCTGAAAAGGCTGTAGCACAGGCACGTCCGGTGCATGTCAGCATGCATGTGCTGCCCTCCTCACAATGCAGAGGGATGGGCATGCCCCTGGCTGACCTCGATTACAGTCCCAGTGTGAGCATTTACCAGCCTTGGCACTTGAGGATGGTCACAGTCTCTCTCCTCTGTAGAGACCAGGAAAGGTCAGAAGAGCAGAAAATGTCCACAGGACAGAGAATGTCATGCACCTGCGAGGGTCCTCCCTACTGGCCAGAGAGAAGGGGTTTCTCTCTGGGTGGTAAGACAGCCACCATGTGCTCAAGATCCCTCCATAATTTATAGGAGTGCAGAGTACATCATGGAACTTTTGGAACTGATTTTTATAGAACAAGTGCTTGGCAACTTTTATCATAAAATTTAATTTCATAATTATACTCCGTCGACTTCAAGTTATACTCCTTTCGATTAACCAGAACAATTTTGGGGCGGAGGAGAGGAGGAACATCAGCCCCTATAAGAACATTCACCTAGAATCAATACACTTATCCTAAAGGTCAAGATGAAAGAGCTTAAAGGAATCAATAATGCCTGATGCTCCAGTGTGTCTTGTAGATCTTCAGACATGTGTATTTCCTAATATCTGCGCCTGCATTCGGGTGGTCAGTGTTCAAGGCCTTTGGCTCAGGACAGGACCACTACAGGTCCTTGTCAATGCCATGCAGTGTGGGTATAGTTTTAAGGGTATTCTTTTGCATAATGGAACCACATAGGGCAACCAAAACACTGAACACTATTTTGTCTAACAAGTAGTAAGTGTCCTTTATGTATGTGAACTTAGGAATCTTGTTTTAACCTGAGTAGAAGAAAAATGATTCTGAAACCACCTCTGCTTCCATTTCTGAAAACATAATCTGCTTCTTTCCTCTGACTCACTTGAGAGATCCCATAGGTGGGACAGCCCTGCTCAAAACAAGAGCATGGGGCAGGGCAAGGACTCTATTTATTTTTAACAAATTGAAGGGCAGGGGACTGCAAAGACAGCAAGGGAGGGTTTGCTGATGTACTAGTCAGCAAAGTTTCTTAAAGGCACTTGTGCACCAAACCTATAAGATAAAAGCATAGATGGTAACTCACCCAAAGTGACTGGCTAAGTTCATGGAAATACAAAAGAGAATGAGGTTTTTTATCATGATAAAACTAGAAAACATTCCATTGTCCATTCCCAATGAGAATAATAGCTGAAGCAGATGAATTTGTAAGAATAACTGTTCCTTTCTCCAACTTGATCTTGAAGCTGAAAGGTACACAAAGAGGGAAAGCACATAATATAAATGTTCTTGTGTCATAGTTCTTGAAATCAAATCATACTGCAAGCACACACAATTTACAAAGAAATGATCTGGCCATCCTTCTCAGCACAGCTCCACATTGGGTTGTTATCTACGTCCACAGGGCAGTAAGTTGTGGCATGAAAAGGAGTTACAATAGGGCTTAATTTCCACTTTTACTCAGAGTGCAGACTCATTCTAATTCGGTTTTTTCCGCATCTCAAATACTTTGTTTTACTTTTCAGCATATTATCAAATGACCCAATAGTCTTATTAGAATAAATGTTTGAAGTTATCCGATTAACTGTATTTTGCATCTGTCAAATCCACAAGTGGAATCATTTTACCTTTCCGAAATATTTGCCACGGGTTCAAAGCCAGCAAGCTACTCCTTGTTCTGCAAGGTGCTGAGAGAAAGTATGTGGAAAGAGGGGAAAAAAGGCACATTTAAGAAACAAATCTACAGGATCACGACAGTATAAGAACTGCTTATAAGAAAAGGTTGCCACTTTCTCAGCATTCTGCCCCCATCAATAAATAACTTAATAATCATTGCATTTGGGGAAGTCTCTGAGCTCTGTGCTGGGACCTAATTAACGCATCTGAAGTCCAGGCAGGCACAGTCCCTGGGCTCTGCAACTAACCCCAGCGAAGGCACATATTTCTCAATATGCGCATAACGCAAATAGGTGTGTGCGATAGACGAACCACCGCGTGTTCACGGGTACATTTTCCCAAGGAGACCCCAGGCCAACTCCGGAATTGGGCACATACAACAGGTACTTCCACCCCAGGAACTAAGCCCTCCTGCCAAGAAGGGCAGGGTGCCGTGCGGGGGTCGCCTGCTCGCGTCCCGGGGCTTGTCGCCTGACCCGGGCCCTCCGGGCGGCGGGCACCCAGCGCCGCATGCGGGAAGCCGGGGCGGCACCGCCCGCCGCCCGCCGCCCCCGCCCTGAGCCGGGACCCCCACCGCCGCACCAGGGGCTCCACCCCTTCCGCCCCCAGCCCCGCTCCGGCTCGCGCGCGCAGGTGGGCGCGGGGGCGGCACTGCGGAGCCGCAGCCGGGCCCGCCCGCCGCCCGCACCCGCCCGGTCCGCAGCCGCGTGCCCGCGCCTCCGGTTCGCGGACCCTTCCCCTCTCGCTTCTGGCCTCAGACACATTCCCCGCTCCAGCCCCAGGTCCGAGCCTCCTCCGCGGGGAGCGCGCTGCCGCGGCGGCCGGGAGACACCGGCCTGGAGCGCCCCGCACCCCCCCCCCGCCACCCCGCCACGGGGTCCGCACCCACCCCGCCGGCAGCGCCTCCGAGCCCCAGGCTGGGGGGCCTGCGGGTGGGCGAGTTCGCCTCCCCCCGGCTCCGGGGCCGGCGGCAGGGTGCCCGCACCCGCAGTCCCCCCCGGGGAGCCCCGGCGTCCCCGCCCGCCCGCCCGCCGGGCTGTGCCGCCCAGGCCGCCCCTGCCCTCCCGCGCCGGCTGTGCCCCGCAGTCGCCGGCCGTGCCCCGGGGAAAGTTTGCGCTCGCGGCCGCCCCGGAGCCCCGCCGGCTCCCCGCCTCCCCTCCCGGGCCGTGCGGCTCGCCGCTCCCGAGCCCCGAGGGGAGGTGCTCGCCGGGCCGAGGCCGCCCTCCTTCTCTCCCCTCCACGCATCTCCCTACCCGGCAGCCGGGGCGGCGAGCCGTCGGCGGGGGCCTCCGCCTCCCCTCCTGCCCACGCTCCCGCACAGCTGGCAGGCGCGCAAGGCCGGTGCGCGTCACCGCCCGGTTCTCCGCGGCCGAGCCGCCCCGCGCGCCACGGCCCACAGCGCCCCGCGCCCCGCGCGCCCCAGGCCCTCGCGCCGCCCCTGCGGACCCGTGCCCCGGGCTCTAGCGCGCTCGCCCTCACCTCTCCCGAGCGCCACATGTCGTCTCCGGGCTGGAGGGACTGTCCTCTGCAGAGGCGCTCCGGCAGAGGCCGCCAGACTCTCATCGAATGCGCCCTCGGGCCGGCTCGGCGGAGGGGGCGGGCTCAGGGCCCGCGGCCCGGCCTGCGGTGGGATGGGCGGTACCTGAAGTTTCCCGACGGCCTTGGGGAGCAGGTTCCGGGCCTCCCGGAACCACCGCGGGTTCCCTCCACACAGCAGGGGGGGACCGATGGTGTCCGCACGGCGGCAGCCAGAGGCCGGTTCTCCGAGGTTTTTCCTTGGCTCCAAGCCTAAGCGCCTGCCTAACCTGCTGAACCTCCTCAGCCCTCAGCACACACCTCTATGTCCTCATCTCCTGTGCTCTTTAGGAAGAAACTCTCTAATGAGGCTTCTTTTTTTATCTGCAATTCATAGCTACGGGGGGTGGGGGTGGAGTGCAAATCCCAGAACAAAACTGGGATTAGAATTAAACCCTTACCTAATCGCAAAACATTATATATATATATATATATATATATATATATATATATATATATATATTTTTTTTTTTTTTCCCTGAAGTTATTTCTTGACAAGAAGCCATGTGTCAATAACCAGGGATCATGGGATCATGGGACAGTGGGTCTGAAGACCTGGAACAGCGCTGGGAGCTGCGGAAGCTCCCCCCTGGGGCGCTCTGGGGACCAGGACATCGTGCACTGCCACTGGTACCCATGCACATGGGCTTCAGTCCTAGGGTTCTGGGTTATGTCTGTCTCAGTGGTACATAGCCAGAGAGATGGCACGAATGACAACTGAAAGGAAATAGGGTCCCTTTCAGGCAGCACAAATAAGACAGATGTAAAAGAAGGTACATTCCTTAATTTGAAGATTGCAGCATCTTCTTTCCTCAGGAGTGGGATGCCTCTTGACTATGAAAACATCCGGGAGAAAATGTTCAAGATTTAAAGTTAAACCACCCAGAAAATGATGAGACTTATACTATTGTTCCACATCTTTTGTGACACTGCATTGTGAATAGTCACTTTCAACAGGATAATTGTGAGAAAAGGCAAATTTCTAACTCTGCTCACACTCTTTCAGGGTGTGAAGTTACTTTATTCTTCAGTTCAACTCATGTCATGTATTCCAAACCCAAGCTACCTGCTGGTACTTTTGCACATTTCAAAAATTTTGAGATTCTCCAAAAATGACTGATTGTCAATATATTTCTGAACAGGACATTAAAAATGTATGAATTTTGCAAATATACAGGAGGTGTTACTCTGAATATACATTTAGCCACAGTATTCAATAATTCTGATTCTGCATGAAATATAAATTAGATAAAATGCTCATTTTCTGTTTCTAAACTGGTTAACTTGAACACATACATTTCATCATTTTCTTTTTTTTTTTTATTTACGATAGTCATACAGAGAGAGAGAGAGGCAGAGACACAGGCAGAGGGAGAAGCAGGCTCCATGCACCGGGAGCCCGACATGGGATTCGATCCCGGGTCTCCAGGATCGCGCCCTGGGCCAAAGGCAGGCGCCAAACCGCTGCGTCACCCAGGGATCCCTCATTTTCTAATTTTTCAAAAGACCCGTCCCTGAGATAAGTCTGCTGACAGTCAAAATCATTAAATTAAAAACAATCAAAATCAACTAAATATAATCTTCATCTTTTAGGTGTTAGAATTCTAGGCTTAGATATACCAGTTGCAGCTACTCTGCTCTCAGGATTAAACAGCATAAGGCAAATGAAAGAGTTCAAATAACTAGTGAATTTAAAGTTTTCCATATTATGAAACAAGATCATTCAGAAATATTTGCAACAAAATAAAATGCAGATAAGCCAGAGATTACTTTTGGATTAGTGAGAGTTATGGACATTAATTCTTCTCAATAATACCTTATCAAAGTATCATTGACAAATAATGAAATATCCACTATAAGTGAATTTCTGTTCTTTTGATGAATTAATTGTAAAATATCCATGTTTTGGGTAAGTCTTCTATCAGTTTAATTACAATGCATATTATTGAACGTATGGAAATTATCTTAAATAAAATCTAATCTTTAAAATAGTACTGAAGCATGTGGCTTAGATACTTACCTCCTCCATGTGATAAAAATGATAACCCAGTCTCTCTTCTTAATTTTTATGAACATATAAGAGAGTCTTAGGTCAAATGGACCTGAGGGGATAGTGAAATAATGACATAACAAAATTCCATAGAAACTCATATTTAGAAGAATATTTATTATCATTTTAGTAATTTTTGTTTTGATATAGAATTCAATGTTTCCCTGAGAAATAATAGTCTATCAGCTGAATTCCCATTTGTTCCATTAGCATTTTTCCCTTTTATTGAATGACATAAAGCAAAATAGTTACAGTTCTGGAAAGCAGTAGAGGGCACCCCAGTTCCATATAACCTTAGGGTTAACCAGTCTCCATAAGAATTTAGTTTCCAGTGCAAGAGTCTAAAATAGCTGAACTTGGGGAAGCTGGGCAATGGGTGTAGCACTTGCCCCCAATAACACCCACTCTATGCCACCCAAAGCAGAGACCGAGAATGGAGGCTCTGTTTATGCAGGTAGGTGTAGTAGAGATGGCTAAAACATGAAAACCAGTGTCACCATGAGGAAGCAGAGCTTGATGAGTTGAGTGGAGGATGTCCTAAATCAAGAGCCCACTTGTATAGAATAAGGTAATTTTGTGGGACTGTGTGTAATTTTGTATTTATGAAGAATTAGGGCAAAGAAAGCAAGAGGTAAGATGGGGGCAGATATACAAGGGCCAGGTACAAGAAGATAGGAAAGTGGAGAAGGAGTTAATTTCCTCCTGCAAACAAGAAGGAGCTACTGAATAGTTTTGTTGGTCAGGAGAGGGACATGATTCTAGAAGAGACTCACCCTGACAACTGTAGAGAAAGAGTGTTGGGAGGAGGCAAATCCAGGCTAAAAGCAGGTAAGAACATCACAGTGTCAGCCCATGGAGGGAATTTAATAAATGCTTGAGTTATTTCATTAATGAACAATAAACTGATTGATTCTCAGGTATTCAAGGCAGATTTTTAAGTGCTTTGCTCAAACAGAAACAAGAGAGTCTTGAATGTTAAGAAAACAGAAAGGTCAAGTCTGACTAGAAGAAAGAAAATTCATAGGGAAATATGACAATTAATTTGATCTTTGAAAAAGTATTTGGGCAGGCAATATCATAAAAAGCAATAGAGGGGCACCTGGGTGACTAGGTCAGTTAAGCATCTGCCTTCAGCTCAGGTCATGATCCGGGGGTCCTGGGATCTAGCGCTCCATCGGGGATCCCTGCTCAGTGGGCAGTCTGCTTCTCCTTCTCTCCACCTCCCACTCCTGCTGTCTTTAGCTATCTCTCTCTCTCTAATAAATAAATTAAAATAAAATAAAATAAAATAAAATAAAATAAAATAAAATAAAATAAAATAAAAACGAAAGAATAGGAACAAGGGTAGAAGGTACAGGGTGCACTATGTAATAAATGCTCCATTCAGAGAAAACACACTCTATATTTCTAATTTATTATTTATTTCTTTTATTTTCACTTTATTTATGTTATGTATTCATTCACTCATTCTTAAATATGGAACACTTCACAAATTTGTGTATCATGGTTGCATAGGGGCCATGCAAATCTCTGTATCATTCCAATTTTAATATATGTGCTGCTGAATCAAGCAGTCACTTGACTTAAATTAGAATTCTCATAGTAATTATCTAAAGGCCACATATAGACTATAACCATGTTTTAATTAGCCAGCTCTGTTTTAAGATGAATTTATTTTTAAAATAAATTTGAGATAAATTAGAGACAACAATTAAAAGCAAGGTTTCTCATAAATAAATAAATAAACAAAAGAATGAGTAAGTAAATACTTCAGGTTTCTTAAAAGAGAAAAAATTGAAAGCAGATTTAGCAATAATAGGCATACATTCCCATCCTCTCACCGTACCCCACTCCATTTATATTAGGCATGGGCTCCTTAGAGCAATGTAGTCTATTTTTTCTTTCGTACACTTAGCCTGTCCCCCTCACTTACATTACCTGACAAATTGAAGCAATTGAGGTTTTTAAAAAGATTTACAATTTTTTATTCTGATTTTATTTTTCTGTGTATTAGGCTTGTTAGTTATATCTATTTTATTTTGATTTTACTACTTGTTCTAGAGTTTAAAATAGATACTTTTAAAGTATTACATAGTCTACCTTTAAGTAACGTTATATCATTTCAGGTATGGTATATGAATCTTAGCATATATTTCTATTTTTTTTTGTTCTATTTGCTGTTGTCATGTACGTTACTTCTACATGGGTTAATTGTTACTCAATTGTCTCTTACATTAACAATCAATTATCTTTTTTTAATTGTGGTAAAATGTGCATAATGTAAATTTTACATTTAACCGTGTTTAACTGTACAATTGTGTGGCATTAAGTTCACTCACTTTGTTGTGCAACAATTATCACTCACCATCTCCAGAACTTTTTCATCCTCCCCAGCTGAAACTCTAACTATTAAATAATTCTCCCCCCATTCCCTGACTCTCAGCTCTTGGTAACTATTGCTCTACTTTCTGTGACTACAGGATTTGACTGTTCCAGGTACCTCATATCAGTGGAATCATATAATTATTCTCCCTTTGTGTCTGCCTTGTTTTACTTATCATAATGTTTCCAAGTTCATACATGTTGTAGCATGTAACTAATATTTCATTCCTTTTTAAAGCAGAATAACATTCCATTGTACATGTACTTGAAAATTTGTTTATCCATTCATGTGTCCATGAACATCTAGGTTGTTTCTACCTTTTACCTACTGTGAATAATGTTGCTATGAACAAGGGTGTACAAATACCTGTTCAAGCCCCTGCTTTCAGTTCTTTTCTGTATATATCCAGTAGAGTCATAGGGTTAATTTTGGGGGAACTGACATACTGCTTTCCACAGTGGCTGCAGCATTCTGCATTCCTAAGAGCAAGAGTTCTGATTTCTCCATATCCTCAATAACACCTAATATGTATTTTTGTTTTGTTTTTATAATAGCTGTGTAAATTTGCATTTATCTAATGACTAGTGAGGTTGAGAATCACATCATGTACATATTGGCCACTTGTATACGTTCCTTCAAGTAACATCTCTACAGCTTTGCCCATTTTTTTAATAAACAATTTATTTTTTATTGGTGTTCAATTTACCAACATGTAGAATAACACCCAGTGCTCATCCTGTCAAGTGCTCCCCTCAGTGCCTGTCACCCATTCACCCCCACCCCCCGCCCTCCTCCCCTTCCACCACCCCTAGTTCGTTTCCCAGAGTTAGGAGTCTTTATGTTCTGTCTCCCTTTCTGATATTTCCCACACATTTCTTCTCCCTTCCCTTCTATTCTCTTTCACTATTTTTATAGTCACCAAAAGAATGAGAACATACAATGTCCTTCTCCGATTGACTTACTTCACTCAGCATAATACCCTCCAGTTCCATCCACGTTGAAGCAAATGGTGGGTATTTGTCGTTTCTAATGGCTGAGTAATATTCCATTGTATACAGAAACCACATCTTCTTGATCCATTCATCGATCGATGGACACCGAGGCTCCTTCCACAGTTTGGCTATTGTGGACATGGCTGCTAGTAACATTGGGGTGCAGGTGTCCCGGCGTTTCATTGCATCTGAATCTTTGGGGTAAATCCCCAACAGTGCAATTGCTGGGTCTAGGGCAGGTCTATTTTTAACTCTTTGAGGAACCTCCACACATTTTTCCAGGGTGGCTGCACCAATTCACATTCCCACCAACAGTGTAAGAGGGTTCCCTTTTCTCCACATCCTCTCCAACATTTGTGGTTTCCTGCCTTGTTAACTTTCCCCATTCTCACTGGTGTGAGGTGGTATCTCATTGTGGTTTTGATTTGTATTTCCCTGATGGTAAGTGATACAGAGCATTTTCTCATGTGCATGTTGGCCATGTCTATGTCTTCCTCTGTGAGATTTCTCTTGATGTCTTTTGCCCATTTCATGATTGGATTGTTTGTTTCTTTGCTGTTGAGTTTAATAAGTTCTTTGTAGATCTTGGAAACTAGCCCTTTATCTGATACGTCATTTGAAAATGTCTTCTCCCATTCTGTAGGTTGTCTTTTAGTTTTGTTGACTGTATCCTTTGCTGTTCAAAAGCTTCTTATCTTGATGAAGTCCCAATAGTTCATTTTTGCTTTTGTTTCTTTTGCCTTCGTGCATGTATCTTGCAAGAATTTACTGTGGCTGAGTTCAAAAAGGGTGTTGCCTGTGTTCTCCTCTGGGATTTTGATGGAATCTTGTCTCACATTTAGATCTTTCATCCGTTTTGAGTTTATCTTTGTGTATGGTGACAGAGAGTGGTCTAGTTTCATTCTTCTGCATGTGGATGTCCAATTTTCCCAGCACCATTTATTGAAGAGACTGTCTTTCTTCCAGTGGATAGTCTTTCCTCCTTTATCGAATATTAGTTGACCATAAAGTTCAGGGTCCACTTCTGGATTCTCTATTCTGTTCCATTGATCTATGTGTCTGTTTTTGTGCCAGTACCACACTGTCTTGATGACCACAGCTTTGTAGTACAACCTGGAATCTGGCATTGTGATGCCCTCAGATATGGTTTTCTTTTTTAAAATTCCCCTTTAGGGAGCTCAGCCACGGGGTGTGGTGCACTCTCCCCGGGGCGCAGGTGTCTGTTAGTGTCCCAGGGAGCCCGAGGGCATCCCCGCCCTCCTGGGGTCCTACTCTAACTCCTTGTGAGCGCCTTTCTGCCCGGGATGATTGGTGAAGGTCCTGCTTCTCCCTGGCGGGGCTTTCCTGTCCTGGGGACACTCACCCCTGCCTTAGCCCGGCTCCTCGCGGGGCCCCTCCCTCTTGGATGCCTTTTATTTCTTTAATTCTTTCTTCCCCCGTCTTCCTACTTTGATAGAAGCGCGAACTCTTCTCACTGTAGCATTCCAGCTGGTCTCTCTTTAAATCTCAGGCCGGATTTGTAGATTTTCAGGATGATTTGAAGGTTATCTAGGTAATTTGGTGGGGACAGGTGATTTGAGGACACTACTCTTCCGCCATCTTGAATCTCCTTCAGATTTGCCCATTTTTGAAATGGATTTTTTCTTTTTTCATTTTTCAGTTATAGGAGTTTTCTTTATTTTCTTTATTTATATTTATTTATTTTCATTTTCTAGTTTTAGTTATTTTTCTTTTTCTTTATGTTTATTAATGTTTTTTTTTTTTGGTGTTCAATTTGCCAGCATACAGAATAACACCCAGTGCTCATCCCATCAAGTGCCCCCCTCAGGGCCCATCACCCAGTCACCCCCACCCCACGCCCTCCTCCCCTTCCACAACCCCTAGTTCGTTTCCCAGAGTTAGGAGTCTTTATGTTCTGTCTCCCTTTCTGATATTTCCCACACATTTCTTCTCCCTTCCCTTCTATTCTCTTTCACTATTATTTATAGTCACCAAAAGAATGAGAACATACAATGTTTGTCCTTCTCCGATTGACTTACTTCACTCAGCATAATACCCTCCAGTTCCATCCATGTCAAAGCAAACGGTGGGTATTTGTCATTTCTAATTGCTGAGTAATATTCCATTGTATACAGAAACCACATCTTCTTTATCCATTCATCCTTCGATGGACACCGAGGCTCCTTCCACAGTTCGGCTATTGTGGATATTGCTGCTAGAAACATTGGGGTGCAGGTGTCTCAGCGTTTCACTGCATCTGTATCTTTGGTGTAAATCCCCAGCAGTGCAATTGCTGGGTGGCAGGGCAGGTCTATTTTTAACTCTTTGAGGAACCTCCACACAGCTTTCCAGAGTGGCTGCAGCAGTTCACATTCCCACCAATAGTGCAAGAGGGTTCCCCTTTTTCCACATCCTCTCCAACATTTGTTGTTTCCTGTTTTGTAAATTTTTCCCCATTCTCACTGGTGTGAGGTGGTATCTCATTGTGGTTTTGATTTGTATTTCCCTGATGGCAAGTGATGCAGAGCATTTTCTCATGTGCTTGTTGGCCATGTCTATGTCTTCCTCTGTGAGATTTCTGTTCATGTATTTTGCCCATTTCCTGTTTGGATAGTTTGTTTCTTTTGCTGTCGATTTTAATAATTCTTTATAGATCTTGGAAACTAGCCCTTTATCTGATCCGTCATTTGCAAATATCTTCTCCCATTCTGTAGGCTGTCTTTTACTTTTGTTGACTGTTTCTTTTGCTATGCAAAAACTTCTTATTTTGGGGCAAGATGGCGGAAGAGTAGGGTCCCCAAATCACCTGTCTCCACCAAATTACCTAGATAACCTTCAAATCATCCTGAAAATCTATGAATTTGGCCTGAGATTTAAAGAGAGAACAGCTGGAATGCTACAGTGAGAAGAGTTCCCGCTTCTATCAATGTAGGAAGACGAGGAAGAAAGAAATAAAGAAACAAAAGGCCTCCAAGAGGGAGGGGCCCTGCGAGGAGCCGGGCTAAGGCCGGGTCGAGTGTCCCCAGGACAGAGGAGCCCCTTCCCAGAGAAGCAGGAGCTTCACCAATCATCCAGGGCAGAAAGGCACTCACAAGGAGTTAGAGCAGGACCCTAGGAGGGCGGGGATGCCCCCAGGCTCCCTGGGACACTAACAGACACCTGCGCCCCGGGGAGAGTGCGCCGAGCTCCCTAAGGGCTG